AAAAGCGCTGGATAGTCCAGTTGAAAGTGGAAGCGAAAACTTCTCTTGAGCTTACAATCTTAAGCCCTCATATTTTCCTTTTAACTCCCATCCAAATGAATTGGAGACCTTAACCCTGGAGTTATGCTTGGAAAAGTCATCAGATGGCTTTAAAGAGAATTAAGCACAGGAAGATAGTTCACAAGGGGTGGGGACTCTGCTCAGAGATAGGCAAGACAAATCCCTGAATGCAGCAGTGGGTATGTTGAATTTTTAAGCTCTGCCTTGGAGTAGGGCCTGCCTAATAGGTGGAATAAATGTCCTTCCCTTCCATTCATGAGCAGCATACAGACACTTTCTGACAACTCCTTCAATTGTACTTAAGTACAACTACTTATGTTTTTAAGTACTTACGGAAAAGTACTTAAAGGTTGTGCAGAATCAGACCAAGGATCCATCCAGCCTTGTAGCCTGTGCCAATAGCAGACAGTAATGGCAGAATATAAACAAACAGAGCAAATGACTCCATTTGATACCATTAGAAAACTGCTTAATGTCTATTTAGTCTCTCTTGATCTGTTTGAGCAGTTGCCTAGAGCTCAGTGCTGTGCTCTGAAAATTCTTGTATTACGGAGTTACACAGTGTTGCCAGTAAAAGGCGTTTCAAGGATTTGTCTTTCTGTTATTCCTCAGATGTGATGAGGGACCTGTTACAGAGGAGAGTGAAAGTGTTTCTGTCTGTTTGGAACAAGCTAAGAAGCTCGCTGGACACCCATGGTGAGTATCTTTCTGTCCCAGCACTGTTTTGAGAGTGAGGGAAACCAGAGCTTGCCAGCTGTCAGGCAATGCTCCTCTACTACTACCCTTCGAGAGTTCAGGTTCCTCCCATCAGTGATGCTGAGACATATCCTCAAAACTGACCTCGGCCATTGTCCTGGTTTCGGCTGGCTTAGAGTTAATTTTCTTCCTAGTAGCTGCTATAGTGCTGTGTTTTGGATTTAGGATGAGAATAATGTTGATGACACACTGATGCTTTAGTTGGTGCTGAGCAGGGCTTGCACAGAGCCGAGGCCTTTTCCTGCTTCTCACCCCACCCCACCAGCGAGGGGGCTGGGGGTGCACAAGAAGCTGGGAGGGGGCACGGCCGGGACAGCTGACCCCAACTGGCCAAAGGGCTATCCCACACACCGTATGGTCATGCTCAGTATATAAACTGGGGGAAAGCTGGCCGAGGGTCTGCTGCTCAGGAACCAGCAGGGCATCGGTCAGTGGGTGGTGAGCAATTGCATTGTGCATGACTGGTTTTGTATATTTTTTTATCATTATTATTTTCTCTTCCTTTTCTGTCCTATTAAATTGCCTTTATCTCAACCCATAAGTTTTACCTTTTTTTCCTGTTTTTTCCCCATCCCACTGTGGGGGGAGTGAGCAAACGGCTGTGTGGTGTTTAGCCGCCTGCCAGGTTAAACCACAAAAACCATTAAAGGTTTAAGAATGGTGCAAATGGAAGAATTTGTTTCCCTCTCGTAGTATTCTCACCTGAACTTGCTCCCTTTAGCGCTTATAAGTAATGGAAAGAGCACTGCTTTTTTCAGGTTCTATACTTTCTCCTGACCTGGGTCAGCTCAGGAGTGGCTTGCTCATCGTGGGCTGGCTCTGGACCACCTCAAGCAGTCTTCGCTGCTTTTTCTTTCAGGGGAAATTAAGCTTCCTAAAGGCTACTGTGATGCTGACCTGACCCTGGACAGCAAACTTGAGGTCCTTCTGCCACGTCGACAGGGGCTGGGCCTCTGCTCCACAGCCTTAGCCAGTTATCTCATTAGTCTGCACAACGACTTTATCCACTCAGTGAACAAACACATCAAGGAAGATGATAGGTACGTTGCTATTCCAGCTAGGCATTTTCTGGGGCTCTCTTGTATTACCTGCTATCACACAATCAGCTTTCCCTGCTTCATAAAGGCTTCTTCCTTTAAATGGAGACTGCTTTCTCCTCTGCAGGTACCTGATTAGTCCATCAGAAGTGGCTGACCTGCACTTGATCAGTTATGAGGTTGAGAGAGACCTGATTCCTCTGATCTTGTCCAACTGCCAGTACAGCATGGAGAAAGGAGGGGAGACGTTGCAGGACTTTGATCTGGAGAGGATCCAGCAGCAAGTCATCAGCAAGTTCCTGCAGGGGAAACCACTCATCACCCTAACGGTAGGAGAAGGCAGCTAGCTACGTTTTCTGCAGACGGCTTCTTGGCTGATGGTGGAGCCCTGCAGTGTTTGCTGCAGTCAGGCATGCACTGTAGCAGGGTGAGCAATGTTAGCAAAGCTTTACAACCATGGGTTTCTCTCCTGACAGGGAATACCTACCCTCGTGTACAGACATGATCGGAATTACGAGCAGCTGTTTAATGATGTCAGGAATAAGCTGGATCAGGTGGGTTTCTGCACTGGAGGAAACAAGGCAAGCATGGGACCCCTGACATCCCAAGAAATGCCAGGCTTGTCTTCTGTCACTTGCCTTGTTCATCTGCTCTGAAGGCTTCTCCGCTAATCTCTCGGCATGCCTTGAATATGTGCAAACTGGCCGCCTTTTGTCAGTCAGGATTTACAAAGGAAAGGGATGTAGCTAAGCATTTTCAGTTTCCTAAATCTGGGGCTCTGCTGTTTTCCATGACTTTAGCAGCTTGAGCAGCAATAAGGAATGGCTCTAAACTAATATTAGCAACTGCTTTGACTTCATGGTTTTCAGAGTGCTCTCCCCAGTTCTGTGATGAACATGATCAGTGGGGAACTACAGTCTTACAGTGATGTCTGTGATGCTCTGTCCATCACTGAAATTACCTTGGGATTCCTGGCCATGGCTGGAGAGAATGCCGAAATGCTTCTGACTGACTACATAGAAGAAGTTCTGCAGATGGCTGATCAGACAAACCCTCATGTACTGCAGGTGAGTCCTGAGGGTAAAGCTTTTATTCTTACAGGATAAAATCTGCACTGGTTTATACTAAATCCAGCCAGCCTGATCTCCAAGCCCAGCAAAAGTTCAGCTTGAAAAGGTATGTGATAGAATTCCCTCCCCACCATATTCAACAGCGGGGGGGAACGATTTTCACTTGCCCTGCAACCAGTGCTTGCAAGGTGGCAGCATCTGATAGCTTGTGATGCTCAGCAGGTTCTTGCAAAACCCTACAGAAAGGCGAGGTGCGGGCTATGCAGAAGGTTGAGCTCTTCTCTGCAGATCCAAGCTCTTCTGTCAGCACCAGGAAGGAGAATTCTCAGTTGAGTGTCAGCATAATTAGTTGCAATGCTAAAACTGAGAAAAGGGGGAACTTTCAATTATGAGTCAGCTTTCAGTGACACTGGCTTGCCTGGTGCTGAGCAGGATTGAAAATATCCCTTTACCTCTCAAAAGTGGTGATAGGGGAAGGTTTTCTCTCCTAAAGACGTGTGAAAAGAGGCCCTTTACTGACAGGGGGCAAAGGCACTATGTTATGACAAGTCCGTGTGACTTAGCCCTATCACTTTCTCACTCCCTTTCATGATACCAAAAAGATGGATTACTGGGAGCAAAATGGGGAAGAGGGAGAGAGCAGCCTATTGCAGATGGGCTTCTACACCAGGGTTAAAAGGGCTTGATGAACTCCCTGCGGTTGTGCTCCTCTGCAGTTTTGACCTGCATGGGCAGGGCAGGGTGTGGACAGGTTCCTAAATACACCCCTCACATCCAGGTTCACTCCATCTATGTGTTTTTCTTTCAGGCCCTTAGACGATGCCACCTAAAGCACAACATAGCCCTATGGCAACTTCTCTCTACCCACAAATCTGAGCAGCTTCTGCGCCTCAAAAGGGTAAGGTACACTGATAATTTCAGCATCCCATCAGCTGTTTCCTCTTCTCTAAATGAAGTTGCTCAAATGTGTATGGTTGGTTGTTTATTTTTTTCCCCTCACTGCATTTTTAGGATCCTTTTGTAGACATCAGTACAGTCTACAAAGATGAGCTCACTCCAGAGATTGCCAAGCTCCTCAACACCTTCCTTGTCCACTCAAGGCTGGAAACCTTTCTGCAGGAGCTCCATGAAATGATCGTCCTGAAGCTGAGACGTGTCCAAGCTGTGGATGAATTCAGACCCACATGGAGGTAACAGATTTATGCGGCCCAAACCAACCCACTGTTGCTGCTGTTACCAACTTAAGCTTCTCTGCCTCTGATAACGCACGCGATGGGAACGGTTCCCTTGGCAAATGACTGCCCTGCTAGACACAAAGCACAACCATCAACATGGAGAACATGCAGCTAGTTCTAAGACACACTGCCTGATTCTGGCATGTGTGACTCCTCTTCATCTTACACGAGCTATTTTGGGAACACTGCTGGAGTATACCAGGAGCTGCTGCTCGTGAGCACTAAAGCTAAACACAAGCACTTCTGCAGTCACTCAGCTGAGCACACTCAGCTTGGCCCTTGACAGCTTGGTTCTGACCTGCAGCCTCCCATTTCTGGGTTCTTTAGCCTCTCTCTAAATCCAACTGGCTGTTTAATCCTTCTCATTACAAAATACACGTGTTACAACTCTGTATACTTAATGTTGGCGCATTCCTACCGCACAAAATACTATGTGGCATTTGTAGTTTGCCATACACCATCTATTAATACTACTTTTGCTCTTTTTTTTTTTTTTTTCCCAGCCTGAAGGAATCGCTCATTCCTTTTCTTGATGCAAAAGACTCCGAGTTAGCTACAGAGCTGCAAGAGCTGTTCCCAGATGAGATTCTTCTCTCGCATGCCACTGCTACGTGGAAAGCAGCCGCTCTCTTCAAAAGAGAGCACAGGGAAAGCTAGGACCGCTAGCAGCACGCGGCCCCTCTGGCCTTCCTCATGCACAGGGCATTTTAGTGCCACAAACACAGGGTGTTGGCGAGCTTCTGGAAGCTTAGGGCATTGGGGTTTGGGTTTGAGGGTGTTGTTTTTTTTTTTTTTTTTTATTAACTTTAACCAAAAGTGTGATGCAAAGATTAGGTGCTTTCATGCATCAGAAGGATGGTGGAGAAACAGAAAGCTCCACGGATGAGCAGAGACTTTTGAAGGCATCATAAACCAAACACAACCCCAGAGCCACCTGAAAAAGATGAAGGATTTTTTTTTTTTTAAAAAGCAGCTGGGAACTTTTGCAATCTGCGTTTCTCTTGACTCCTTCTCCCGGCTGCCCCTTCCTTGCCGCTCCGGTACCGAA